TATTGAAGCTTGTGTTTATATTGACTGTATTTTCTATTATTCAAACCTACATCAATTCTCCAAAATTAGATATATACGTGAAAATCTGACATTACCAACACCAAAACACTTTTGTATAATAAAATGTATTTTTCAAAAATCTCACCAGATGGGGCTCAAAGATCTGTAGGTGGGGCTCAGCCCCATCTGGCACCCCCCTGGCTCCGCCACTGAGTATAGGGATATCAATTAGTTTCTTTTTAAGGAAATAGTTTAAGTCAATCAAAGAAATCTAGTTTATCACTCTGATTATACTATTTTTCATGACAGTTTAATTTTTCGACTAAACGGGAACAGCCGTTTTTTCATTTTCGACGAAACGGGAATGATGAAAAAAAAAGGGTACCAAATTTTTCGACGAAACGGGAAAATCAATTAAGCTTTCGACGAAACGGGAATCCACCGTTTGCTAGATCATGATAATCAAATATTCACGACGTTTGGAAATTAGAACATCAAAAGGTGTTCCTCTAATGTAATTACAAAGGTAAATTTTTTCAGAATTTTTTAAATTAATTGTTTTATTTTATTTAATAATATTGTTAATGGTCCACGTTCGAAAGATGCTAGTGAATCAAGAAATTCAATATAAAACTCTGAATGATATGATTTATTCGAATTGAACGTTAGGATTTTAAAAAGGTCTAACATTTCAAAAAGAGAAAGATATTTTATCAAAATTGTTCGATATTTTAAATGTATATTCTTCTTTTCCAGTATGTGAAGGTCGCCGTTCGTCTGATTTAAATGCTATATGGGTTGCTTTAAATCTTTTTTATGGATTTTAATACAACATAAAAAAAAGTTTAATTAGCAAATTGTAATGAAATTTTTTATGCTGATAGAGGTCTTGATTAATTCGTGACAATGATCATATTAATATATATGATGCTTAACAAAAATGTTCATTAGCAAGTGTAAGAAAAGGCAAAGTTAAATATACAATGTGGTCAAATGATACGAATTACTTATCATTATTAGGATGATTCAGGTGTTTTTCATCATATAACATTAAATCATATTAAGTATGCACTTATGAATGGTGATCATGGAATTATTCATATACTTGATTTGTATATTTATATAACAAAAGTTAAAGTAATAGAAAATACGATGAAGTAAAATTTGCAAATTTCTTTTCAAAAATCTTCATCTTGAAAACAAATGATGCAAAAACAAGATTTGGCTTAGCACTTGAATGTAGAAATATTGATGTAAATTATTTGTGGTTTTTTTTAATAGTTTCAATTGTCTATTTTTTGAAAAATGATGAAAATTTGTTTGAAAAATTTCTTATTGTTTAGCTGAAGTACGATAAGATGTTAGTAGACAATTTCAAATTGCGACCTTATTAGGGAATGTTGAAGAACCTGTGAAATTTAGACAATGCAATCAAAGTAATATTTTATGTTTTTTCTCTATGAGATTGAATTATGTTATGTCTTTTTTTATACAATAGAATTATTTGATGAAAAAGTAATTTATTATGGATAAAAAAATACTCTCATGTTAGTACTTCGTCCGAGAGGGTTTTTAAAAAAATTAAAGCAATTGAGAAAGTTTTATTTTTCGTTTTCTAATATCTTCAATTGAAAGTCTTGAAAACTAGTTATAGATTTTCATGTAAATATATCAATTTTTTTGAGATATTAAATAATTTCTAAACAATTTTTAATTGTATTCAACACATCATTTATCTAAACAGTTTTCTGTACTGTTGTATAAAGAAGTTTATGATGATTCTCGAAGTTCATCGCGACATTGAATGATAACATGTTTTTTTAAAAGACATTTCAAATTATCACCATGTCATAGTTAGTTTAGTTTATTTTCTCTGATTGATATTCATTAGAATGTAAATTAAAAATAGAATAAGAAGACTTTTCATATTCTGTTTCAAAACAGAAATAAGCCGGTAGACTGAGATTTTAACAAAGTTATTACTGTTACTTGTTCTTTGTTTAATTGATATGTTAGATATAAAATAGTAAGATAGACATACATTTAATCAATATTAATCTCGTATTAAATTTAGTAATTCAAAATAAAATATTTATTTATTTTAGTTACCTGAAATAAATCTACATGCTAAATTAATTTTATCACCATGTTCAATAAGTCAACAAGAATCAAAGCAAATTTGATATCAAACATAACAGCAAAACTTGCTTTAAATCTTCATATTAACGAAACAGCAACAAGTGGTTGAGATTGGGTTTATGATGAAGTACCAATTGAAAGTGATGACGATGATCTTAATAGAGAAAATCTTAATAATAATCAAGATGAAGGTTGAGGTAATACTGAAATTGAATTAACACCTGGTCTAGTATGTTTTTATTCAAATATATAAATTATTGGTTTATTTAATAAATATTTTTAAATTTTTATTTTAATTATTAAGGCGTGATGCACGTTCACCAAAATTATTTTATCCAGCAGTTGGATTTAAATCAGAAAAATTAGTTGGACGTTGTCAAATGGCTTATCGTTTAACAAAAAATGGAAAATTTCAAGGTCAACAATGAATTGAAGTATGTAAAGATAATATTGTTGATTCACAAATGTCAATGGCAAAAAAAGATTTAGCAAAAGATAATGAAAAACGTTCATGTGAATTAGCTACCGATTTTACTCATTTACAATTACAACCAATACATAAAATCATGACATTAAAATTTGCACTTAATCAAGTATTGTGAATTAATTTCTCAGGTCTACTAGTAAAGAAATCTTTATAAAAACATAGCTATCTTTAATGCACTCAAAGATATGTCATATCTGTTGATCGAAGTTGTTCATGTTTTTTTGATTTATTTGGAACAATTGAGTTTATTTTTTGTTCAATGAAACATAATTTTCGTTCAATTACTTTAGAAGACGGACAAAAAAAAACAAATAAAAAGTTTATTATTATTTTGTTTAGACACGGAAAGTATTAAGTGTACGTGGAAAGAATTCAATTGATGAACATCCATTAAATTATGATGAACATAATCCATTTAATATTTGTGCAGCATCCTATGTACCACATTTATCGGTAAGAAATTTAAAAATGAAACCGAATTTAATTTAAAGTAATCTTTAATTTTTGTTTAGTGAAAATTCATCATCCGGTGCAGCCCCTTTATCGGAATTTATAGGACAATTATGTCGAGTTACAAAAGCAACTGAAATTGGAATTCTAATTTTATTATCATTATTATTAACTTTTAATGCATATATTTTGATCATTTTGAAAAATTAACTTATCATTAGAACGTTTTTCTTTTA